TCGGACAAAGCGAAATTAAAAATCGATGTAATGATATAATCGCTATTATTTTAGAATTTAATCGTTTTACAGAGTCTTGTAAGAAAATTCTTTTATATTTACTTCTCTCTTTTCTTGGAGTATATATACGTGATTTAAAAAGGTCTGGATCATCTAAGGTCCTAAGCACAAGTACAAGCACCTAGACGACATCCATGATAAAATCACGTAGCGAATGGAGGCGGTGCTGGCTTACAATGGATGGAAAAATGCATGATGTATGCTAGCGATCAACGTGGTGATGGATGGCGGTTTGTGGCGAGACTACGCGCAAGAAGCTCTCTTTGACGGAACTTCCGTTTTACCAAACTGCATCGGCGACATCTTGCTGATATTACCTATCGCGAACAAAGTCGTTAAAAATGAACAATTTTTGCCTTTCGCTGATGGCGCATCGAATGAATAAAATAATTGAAATCCATTATCGTTTTAACAAAAATATAGATTACATTTCTGTACCAATGAAAAATAACAAAACTACATTTTCTCCTAGAGGATTATCTGTATATAATACCTTTTACCCTGAAAGCTTCTTTTATTTATTAATTAAAATAGAAACAAAATAATAAATAAATAAACTACATGGATTATAGTTACACTATTTTTAGGGATCTTTTAGTTTATTATTATAAAATAATAATGAATAGAAAGAGGAATAATAATAATTGAAAATGCTGCTTCCATTGCAATTTTGATCAAGCTAAATTGACACGAAACAAGCGATAAACTTGTTTCAATTACGATTTGAAAAATCAAGTGGACGTTTTAATGATGCTGAGTGTCGATTATAATTACAATGATTAGTGGATATTGATCGAAAGGCTCGGCCATAACGGCGTTTCCGCGGCGCCGAGACGAGGTCGTGAATCGGTTCGTGGTAAACGGTGACTTCGGAGGAGGTGATAATGCGATGATGCATGCATGCCGGGCCCGTGGCCCTACCTACCTACGGCGACGTGCCTAACGCCTAAAATATGGCGTAGGTAAACGCGAATCCGGTCCGGCCCACATCCGCGCCTGCGGAAGTCGCTGCTTCCAGTCGCAAACTGCGACGTGAAAGAGCCTAGACGTCAAAGAGGAAGAGGAGGAAACGGGAATGGAATCGTGTGGGTACCCGGATCCGATCCTGGGCGCATACGATTCTTGGAACCGATCGGGAAACCGGTTTTAGGACGTGTCTCGCGCCGCGTATGCAGGTCGGATCGTCGATAATGGACCGAAGAACCGTCCGCCAACAGTGCCTCTTCGTCTCTCTCACCTTAGATTCTTCCTCTGTCCTTTTTTTGCACCGGTGATCGGTGGAGGGATTCGCAATAATCTGCAGACGCAGGGAGAATTCGATCCCGGTCAGATCGAATCACCGTCTCAATGACTCACCCACCGTCTTCTGTAACTGACCGGTGCGGCGGGAGCATGTAATGCAGATCACGCATACACTGGCGAATTTCACGTGTATCATATATTGCTCCCTTCCTTTAAAAGTAATACAACTCAAAAAGTCGACACAAATAAGCAAAAGCCCTATTCGGTCAGAGTGCAGGTCTTACCTGCAAAAATATTTAATAATATTTTTGTGTGAATTTTACAATTTCCTGTTTAAGCTAACCAAGACCTGCTTTGTTATGGTCTTCTTCGCTTATTTGTGTTGGATATTTCTCAGTCCATTTTTAGTTACCTACTATTGTCCAAAAATAAAATTTCCCAGAAAAGGGAAAAATTATCTTTCAATTTGACAGAAAATTATTGACTAAATAATATCAACAAAAAGAATTTCTTTTTAATATAATCATTTGTTATTTGTTTTTTTTACTTTAAAAAATTCTTATTTTAAAAAACTTTTTTTTTAATTGTGACAATTTTGACGATTTTTAAAAATCATCCTTTTTGAGCTTTTTGATGATTTTTTTCTGAATTAATTCTTTCAAATTAAGTTTGTTTATTTTTATAATGGATAGGATCTATTTACTGAACTTATTTATGCTAATAATTCGAGAATCACGTTTTTTTAATTATGTTGCTTTTGAAATATAAAGTAACGATATATAATACTTGTTATATTCCTACTAAAGTTAGATTGCTTACATAATATAAAAATATAAAAAAAAGTAGAATGAGACTCAGCAACGATAAATGGCACAATTATTTAGTGAACAATCAATATTCAGGTGTTGGATTGAAGTCTTCTATATTTGAACGTTTCGACTCTCTTTAGAGTCCTCCTCAGCAATGATAATACAAGTATAATTAGCTTACATGTCCGTAATGTTTAAGTTACTCGCAAATTAACAAAGATGCAGACGATGTCAATCTGACATTTATAGAAAAATTTTCACCTAATTGTAATAGATATTGAATTTTTTCAGGAATTGAAAAACCAGATAGATTTTTTAACCAATCTTCTTTAATGTTAAATAATTTCTGAAGATTCTGATGTTGTTTCAATGAACTCTACAGGATCTGTTTTAATGTTATAATGATCGTCGGCAAGAATTACCACTGTGGACAGAGAACTGATGTTGAGTATCACGGAAATCGGAGGCGTCAGTACCATTCTGAAAAGGCTGATTAACCAATACATGATAATGGATCGGAGTTATATCCCTATAAATTCTTCTTTTATTCTTTTGTAACATCCATTTTATTTTTCTTGAAAGAATAATTTCCTCTTTCCTCATCTGAGATTGAAAGACGATTTCTTGTCTAGCAAAAAAAGAATTGTAAATCGACATGTTGTTGAATATTTCTCCTGAGATTCCAAATTTGTTTATACGAATTGCCATTAGATCTATAGGCGTCGTTAAGTTCTATTTTTAAAATTCTTAACATATAGTGATTCCTAAAATAGTTCATTCTGTGTACGTAACGAAAATGAGAGAATTTTAATTTATCATCCATTAGAAATTTGAGATGTTGTGAAATGACATTCTTCCTAATACATGTTTTAATCAAGATTAACATCGCTGCATCTTTATCAATTTGCGAGTGACTTAAACATTATGGACATGTCAGCTAATTATACTTGTATTGTCATTGCTGAGGAGGACTCCAAAGAGAGTCGAAATATTCAAATACAGAAGTCTTCAATCCAACACCTGAGTATTGATTGTTCACTAAATAATTGCGCCGCGTTTATCGTTGCTGACTCTCATTAGCCTACCATTTTTTATATTGTTTAAAACTTGAGAGTCCTAATATAATTATCGTTATTGATTACATAATTATTACATTGCACGGGAATCGGTTAATAGAAATAATAATAGTGCTATTTTTAAAAAAGCACTGACGTAAAATTTGTAAAATCGCTTGAATCGGGAGATTAGATTTTTCTTGTATTCGATAAAGTTTAAAGCTTTTTCTTCGTACTGGCGGAGAATAATTACGTTGAACTGCTGAACAAGTGGAGGAAACACGCGTATCTGAATGTACGGGTGCTCATTCGCGCGGAATATCTAACGCGTAATTTACCACTAGTTCAAGGTAGTTAGCTTCCACTTTGAAGAACGGTGGGCCGCGAAATTGACCATAAAGCTGGGTTTATCTGTAAACTCCTTCATCGCGGTGCTGAAACCGGCTTCGAGGAGGCATTACAAATATCTTTCCGGTAATTATGATTTTTAATTAATTATCGCATCCAAATGGATCGCGCCGTACGCAATAATTCTGTTTGTGTGACCGCGGGAATATAATTAAACGCGGAATTAAGCCGGTGCTTTATGAGACGTGCTGATAGATACGAACTGTACGCACAACGTGCTTTATCGTAAAAGCGATGGGAACGGCTGCTTTTTGTTCGCGTGCGATCTTATATTTACATTTCGATGCGTGGAACGATGTCACAGTTTTAACGTCAACTTCCGTCGTCTGCGAATCTAATGCGAGTTTCCATCCGCATCGTAAATATACATTTCGTCCACATCCCTCGATGTTATATTTGTTTTTCTAAAAAAGAAAACGCGCATACACAAAGAATGGGGAAAAAGAAAGAAAAATTGTCATCAGCCGGCGCGTCGAAACGCAATGGCGTATTCACCCTTGCATTTGAAATTATATGACGCGCATAAGCCGCAATGCGGTTGCACGTGACAAATCTACCGTCGCGATACGTGCGAGTTCTTCTACAGCTGTTGCATCTAAACCAGCTTTATGACGCGAAATAAATTTAGGCCGCCGTGATTCGCGTGTCTCGCGACGAGATACCTACTTTTTTTCCCTTTCTTGTGGCTAAAGATACCAAAGTTATCTTCGCAACGTCTCGAAGCTCCAGCGACTTTACGACTTTTTCACAACCGTCTCGGTCATCCACCGGTTTTTATATAATCGAGCCGTGTATATTGTATGAACATGCGCGTGTTGCATTCCTATATATGCAATTGTTACTTCCATGCATCAACGAATATACTGCTTTGATTAAAGGTATTAGGCACCTTATTATTTAACGTTGTAGCTTGTAGCTCAAAAATTGATTTACTGCATTTATTGTAATTTTTTTATATCTTTTATTTTAAGAAACGGTTTTGAACTTGCACTGAGAGAAATGATTTTGTTATAGGAAACAAATCAAGGGAAACCAATTGTGATATTTGTTTGAAAAACGATTAATTAGTTACTATTGCAAATTAATTATTTCTTATTCGTCAATGTAACAAATAATTAATAGTATCGCTTGTAAATAAGAGGCACATATACATCTATAAAAGTCGTAGATGGTCGCAGGGTCCCAAATCGTAAGAAATTGACTGATTCTAGTCAAGTATTCTCCCTATAATATTTGACTGTGATTGATCAGTTTCCTACGACTTAAAACTTCACGATCATCTGCGATTTCTATATAAATGCCTAAAGTCTATCCAAAAGATAGGTTAGATTCTATATAGTTTGCTTCTCTCTCTGTTACTAGTAATTGGTTGGTATGGGGCGCCGAGTGGCTCGCCGCTCAGTGCGATTTACTCGTGATCTGTAGATCCGGGTTCGATCCCACTTGCGCCCCATATACGCGATTTTTCACGTTTGCCATTCGGATTCGGCGTTAAACTGTAGGTCCCCTCGAGTGTTGACAAACTCTCTAAGGAGTAAGAATGCAAACTACTTATATCAAATACAAAAACATGAGCGAGCCTTTGCTCCCCGAAGAGGCTCTAAAGCTAAATTGATACGCATAGTACTGTGACCCCTCAAAAATGGGGTCGGAAAACCAAACCCAGGGAATATACTAAGAAGCTAAGAATTGGTTGGTATAGCAGACTAGCATCAATCATAACAAACCAAATTTGTTGTCACATATTTACCGGTCACTTGTTAAAGGTACTGTTAAATTAACAAAATCCTTTCTCCCAGTGTGTGTATAATGCTTATAATCAATTATAGATAAAAGATAAAAGAAGTCGATAAAAGAATTACAGAGATAAATGAAAACAGTAAGATAAAAGCACCAGATATAGATGAAGCACTCGGATTATTTATTATATTTAAATTAAATTATTTTTCATGTGACGTATATATTACAAGATTCTTTAATATTTTCTTTATTTTTTCAAGTATTAATTTCTTTTTGATTACAAGCAACAATGCTACATATTTTATTGATGTCATTAACTGATAAAATGTAAGAAGTAAGCTAAGATATGTACCTTTAAAAATTCATTTAATATAGACTAACACAAGGATTGCTTTATAGCTTTTATATAGGAGGTAGTAAACAGCATTAGATCTTATAGAAAAAAATTACAATCATGCTCAGTTGAAATTAAATACGTTCGCGGATATCTGTTTATGATAATATTTTTATCACGTAATGTAAGCGGTGATATCATTAAACTTGCTAAAATTTTACAAATGATGCCAATTCAAAAATATTTATCTGTTTGGAATATTGAAACAAAATAAAATAGTATGCACATCCACATGAAAATTTTAAGTGTTATTGTTCATAATTTAATTGTATTGTATTGTTGAGCATATATAATTTTTATTTTTTATTATAATTTTAATGTCATTGATTATAAATATAAACTTAAATATGTTAAAACTGTATCATAATCCACAAAACTCTTGAACTGAATGTGGATTATTAATTTTGTTTAATTTATATTACGATATGCAAGCACAAATAATTTTCATTATTCTTACGGAATATATACGATAACGAAAAAGGATAAAGCGTTTAGAGAACCGTAATTAATATATTGGGTCTAATTGTGAATAATTTTCATTACCTAAATTACTTTGATTAAAATTAAAAAATATAAAATTGAAATGGTATAAAACCATCCGTAAAGTAATCTTTTATATGATCACTTATAATTACCTATCAAATATTTTATCAATTGTTCAGTATCATTTTGAATAAAAATATGAATTTTTATTTTAAGAGTGATTCACAACTAGTGGTCTTACTCTATAGGTGCTTATTTCTTTTGATTAGAGCTGCATATCAAATAATAGAATACACGCTGTCGCGGAAGAATTAATTAATTGTCGTTGTGTAGAGAAGAGGACAAGAAAATCAAAGAAAATATGTAATTGTTGAAGTGAGCGGACTATGACCATTATTCCTCCTTCACCCTTTTCCATTGCCGCATGAATGCGTGAGAAAAGTCCGCAGTGTTCAAAAGTCCCGGGAGGTGATATATCATCTGCGGATGATAGCGCCGTGTGTCGTGAAAGCCATTCGTTTCAATGCGTGTATTCATGCCGCGCCTAAAAGCTTCGCGTATTTCGCTTACTTTCTTTTTTTTTTCTCTACGTACGTCACGTCCTACGCGATGCACCTGTACTACGTTGATTTCCGCAATCATTAACGTCCAGAGAATTCCTTCCGATCAGTCCAGAATCGCTTCGTACCTTTGACACTTCGTTGCGACACTTTGTCGCGGAATTTACGGGTTTACGCTGCGACTCGATTACACGCCACGTGTATCATAGTAATACACGAATTCGCCCCACGTTTTTCACGTAAATTGAAAAATTCCACTGTGATTTAAACCGCAATCGGGCCTATTCGGTCGCAACACGAATGAATCTACCGCGATGGCAATATTCCGAATTAATGGATTGAATTTAGTGAAAAAAGAAATAGATTGCATACAATAAATTAAGAATCGGGTCAAATGATGTCAACCCATACTTTGCAATATTGCGTAAGTTGGAAAGCAACGATTGTTTGATTCGCACTGTGACGCGATATGTGTGCACGCATGTCGATAATATGAACGAGTTAATCGCGGTTGTGGCGTTTTCCGCTCGCTAAATCGTTGCTGAAAATCGGAATATAGTCATGTAATCCAAAGCAGATGGAGCGCGAAAGCCCAGCGCACGAAATAAAACCTGATTGAAACGCGATAAAATGCAACAGATGTGAGATTTATTGTCGCTTTGAGCGATTACTTTTAATATCCTATACTATTAATAACGATGAAAATATTATGTTATTCAGAACATTAGAGATATTTGATTGAATTCCTTTTATCTTTTTTTGAAAACTAAAGGAAATGCACACATTAAATTCCTAGATTACTTTTACAGTAATCTCCGGATTTACACGATATATTTTTACACAAATTTGAATATACATGGAAACGATTAATTATTTTTAACGCAAAAAGAGAGATAACGCGAAACATTTGTGTTTGTTTCAAGTATTAAAAAATGTATATTTGGAATTACTCTACATAGCTGGAAAATTTATGTTAAATTTGTAATATTTTACATGTCCCAAACCACTTAAATTTTTGTGTTAATTTATCACAAGATGAATATGTTAGGAAGTAACATGAATATTATATTAGCATAAAAAAGGTACACTGACACAATTTGTAAGCAAGTTATGGAAGCATATTTTTTTAGTAAAATTAAAATTTATAATATGTTATAAATTAACATATATATTTTATTCATTTCTCTTACAATTTACGTTTAAAAATGCATCATTTTTATGTTATTTGTTCAGTTACTTATATAAATTGTGTTATTTTGACTCTAAAAAATGGTGAATATCGATTTAATATAAAATATTTAAATAACAAAAATTTAGTACAAAATTTTAACAAGGACTTGATTGGATTGGTTTTAACAAATACAAAATATTCTTTATTGTATACTCTTCTATCGAGCGATCGATATTCCCGATCGTGCGAACGCGATTGTATTCAACTCTACTGTATCCTTGCGTTCGTTCATCGAAGCATTAGATCGTTAGATTTGCCCTTCGGCAAATTGTGGAGGTCTATCGGCGGAATCATCTCTGTGCGCTCTCGTGATGACTGTATAATAGAACCTCCGCTGCGCGATAATGATTGGACATTGACGCTCGCGAATACTCGCTAAAGCAAATCATCGCTAGACAAGCGCCATCCAGCAAATCAGGAATATCTGATATCTCTCGGCGTGAGTAATCCGTAATCGGGGTACGATCTCTTAGAAAGTAAATTACATTTCCGTTAGGAACAATTGCGCACGAAGAAAAGCTATTTATAAACAACGATCGTTACTATATAATTTTCATCTCAATGACAGTTTTATGTTCTCCGTGAAACATACACTACCCCTCAAAAGTTTCAACACGTCTTATACTTTTGTTAACAGTTCCATTTTTCATACATAAAATATGGAGTTATGATATGGTGTATCTACTTCTGTATTTTTGGTCGCCGAAATATTCAATAAAATTGCGAACTGCCGAAAAATTAATATAAATGGAAAATTAGATAAATTTTTTAAATAGAGAGAGATGTTACAAGTATTTTTGTATCAGTTTTGGAAAGAAATATTGATTAAAAATTTTGCGTTATAGATACTAATAAACATTTAACGATTAACAATAATAAGAATGGTATGTAAACTGTATTTTCGCAAAGATTAAAGATATATTACACATATTTTTAAAATAATGAAAAAGCTATAGGTTATTCTAGATTACATTTAAAAGTAATACAAAAAATTTAACAATGGTTTATCATCTGGATCAAAAGTTATTATTTTTAATAAAAAGTAATATTTTTGTACTCTAATAGAAATATATGGAAATGTATTTATAAAATAATTACAAAATATTTTAATTTTTTAAAAGTATTTTATATAAATATTTAAATTAAATATTTAAAATGATTTATGTAAATTTACATTGCAATGCAGAAGCTAGTTGTTCTATAAAAAAACAAAATATTAATTTTTTCCAAGTTTTCGTAACTAATCTCTTAATTACAATGAGACTATATAGTAATTTTGAAGATTTAAAAGACTTATATAAAAAAAAATTGAATTTTTTATCATTTGTTTTTCAGTTTTAGTTTACAACAATAAAAATAATGACAAATAAAGTAAATAATAAAAAGTGTTATTTAAAAATAGAATGTTATTAACACAGAACATAAAATCATCATTTTGCAGAATATAAAACTGTCATTGAGTGAAAATTACATAGTAACGATCGTTGTTTTATAAGTAGTTTTTGTATGTATATAACTTATTTAAAATATAAATATTAATACACTTTTGTAAAAATGGGTGCAATACATCCTTAAGCATCAAATTAAACACAAATCTTTTTGTTTAAGACACTTGAGAAACTTACCGATTAAATGCCAAGAGTTGGATTTTTGTTATCAAAACTCAAAGATATTAGACTTTAAGAAAAAAAAATCTAAAAAAAAAAAGTTTTTCCAGTTTCAATAAAAATATGTAATAATAAATTCTAAAACAATACATGCAAACTATATTCATATTTTATTCTTTATATTACGGAATATTTCCATAAATGGAGAGTATGCTGAAATTTTTAAACGGTAGTGCATTTTGATTTAAATCTTTCGCAATTTTTACCTATGTGCTAACTGACTCAATATTTGTCTATCTACTTTACATTTCGAATAATAATAGCACTATAAAATTTTGCACGAATAAAAACGGATATTTTCGCCATGGGAAATCCGTTGCTAAGAGCACTGCATGCTTTTCTCATTTTTGCCATGCCGTCGCATTGTTATCGGGAAAATAGCGCAGCAGTATACGGAAGTAACATGGCTTACTTGGCGGTAACAAGAATCACGTTCACAGCCGAGAATTTACGGTTGGAAACTCGTGTCTAGCATGAACGGTGTTTGCGAGCGCGGCTTACAGAGTACTTAACATTTCGGGCTTAACGCCGAAAGTCCGAGATTGTCTTCAGGCGTCGATCGATGGACGGGCAATCGGCGGAATCACCGCCTGGGCACCTTCGGGGACTTTTCTGTTCGGTCAGGAAGTTTGTCCGACAGTTCGGACGTAGCGCAGTGTCTAGCCCTTCATTGGACCGCAAACTATGCAACGTGATTAGCTTAAAGTTCAGCAACTGCGATCGTTCCCACATCGCCTTCGGACCTTGTCTTTTCTCGGTAACAAGTGGCTGTAACACTTTGGTCATTAATTAGTGCAGTTCCTTGTGATATCTTGCCAGAGTCAGACATAATGCGGTCGTTATTATTACTTTTTAACGTATTATTCTCTTAAACTATTATTCTCTACTTAAACTCTTTACTTAAACGTATTTCCTCTTAACTTATTTAAAATAGATAAAGTAATATTTAAATTTAAATAAATTAAAAAATCTTTCTTATTGTTAGAGAAATATTTTACGTCTGCTTGTTAAATATTGTATGTCAATTTATTATTGTCTATTTTTTTTATTAAATTAAAGACGTACGCAATATTTAATAATAGTTTTAAAACATATTTTCGAGAAATATTTATTTATTTAAGTTCTTATACGAAATCTGCCTGATTTGGATTTCTCTATAAATGATTTCTTAGTTTAAATGAGTTTTATAATAGTTTTTAATTTTTATTTAGTGATATATTATTGGTATTAATAATTTTAATGTAACTCTCTAATCTTAATACGAACGCATATTTTTTCCACCTTTGTAAACAAAAGCCGCAAACAGAACGTTGATTCTCATTCGGGAAATGACAAGCGGCGCTACGGTAATAATTAATTAGCAAGCGCAGTCGCGTATCTTTCGATGATTGGATCCATGATCGCGCATTTTCACGCTTGCGCATTCTCATATCTCCAACGGATTATGTATGTACGCGTACAAATAAACGCGATATTATATCGCAACCAGCGGGAGTAAATCTGATGCAGCGTGCATCCTGAATATTATCCAACATGATACTGTGTTTATTACTACCTATTTTTGCGGATACGTTTGATTTAATGACTGTGCAAAATTGTTCTGCTGCGAACCACAACGCCATGCATATACGAAGCTAAACGAAGTTTTACGAAAAACGATACTGGGTTTTCGTGTAGCATTTCTTTGAGAAACGCCACGCCATATGTTCCTAAAGTGCAAGTGCAGGATAAATGGCGACGAAGAGACTGCATCGCGGTTTTGCGATTCACGGCGATCGGAAGAAGTGGTCGCGCGAACTCTTTTATGTCTTACGAACACCACAGTCACGAGAATGCCACTTCCGGTACGGCGCAGCTTCAGTATATGCGCTGTGCCATTTCCCTTCTGGCTCTTCTCCTGCTATCGGAGAGTGCAATTGCATCGATGCAACCGAATTGCTCGACGTTTTACGCTCCTTCCTCCTCGCCCACTAAGGCACGTCTGATAAAGAAAAGTATTAGTGCTTGTAAAATGCTCTCTCCTTTCAAGCTTTCACCTCTCGCACTTGTTTCGATCGGGCGAGAAAAATGATAGGTTTCTCACTGGGTGGATGTTATAAGGACAAGTAGAACTCTCGCAGTGATAAATCTTACGTTGAGGACTTACGATAAAATGGCTGTTA